GCATATGCTTCTCTGATGAAGTTTGTCGATGAAATGTGCTTCGTCCCAGTAGAGCATGAGGTTGGCAATTTCTGGTCCCGTGTTGGTGCCCATAGGGATACCAACCACCTGATGGCACGAAGTGCCATCTGTTGTGTAAAGATAAGTATTAGAGACCACAAAGAGTGTGTGTGTGTGTGTGTGTGTGTTAACTTTGTTTCTTCATGATTAAGTTTTGTATTTGTTGACGACTTCATGTCATTGAAGGCCATGGGAGGAGGGAGAAACTAGAAAGGCAAAGGAACTCAGGACTCCAGAAATAAGACATGGAATCATTTGTTGGTGCAAATGACAAATTTTGCAGCCCTTGCTTTAAATATGGGACACACAAACCAATTTTAGGAGGTGGTTGGTTTGGCACTTCTGATTTGAAAAGCCAGCTCTCTGCAGTTCTTGTCTTACTAGGAAACCATAATGTCTTGCAGGTTCAGAAGCTGGTTGCCAGAGACTCATCAAGATTCGTGCTTTACGCGGACTTGTCAACATGGTAAGCGCTCTGTTCTTTCACGTTTTATTGGATTCTCATCATGCGCATCTTTCATTTTAAGCGGATTATTACGTAAGCTACAAAACTCAACGTGAACTGGTGCCATTTGGGTTTTACCTTTCTTTTGGATTTCATTTTGTGTTTCACTGAACTTTCACCTTCGTTGGGATGCACATCTTGATGTGAGCTGGTGCCATCTAGGCAATGGTCAATGTGGATGATTGCTGTGCTGGTCTGCGGATGTTGTCATGTTGTCTGCATAAGAGAACATGTGTACTTCACAACAAAGCAGATTTGATTGACTGGCAAAGGAATAGGGAAAGGGGAAAAGTGGCAGTTGAGGCAAAGCACTATTGCAGACAGCACTAATGGCACAAATAGCTCCTTTGAAGCGACGGACGAAAGATATATCAAGGCAACACAGGCAAATTCAGAGAGAACTTAAAGAAGAGCATTAACTTCATTGGGGCTGGTGCAAAGGGAAAATAAAGTAGTCCGCTATTTCATAGGAAGCCTAAGGAAGGTGAAAATAACTAAGAGCATTAACTTCATTGGGGCTGGTGCAAAGGGAAAAGAAAGTAGTCCGCTATTTCATAGGAAGCCTAAGGAAGGTGAAAATAACTTAGTTCAAAATCCGCACAGACACAGTCGAGGGTCTTATTTCAAATCTGCACAGACACTCCAGGTTTTAACTTCTGGTCTAAGTCCAGATTCATGGGTCAAGTCTTCTCAAAAGTCACGTCTCCTGCACATAAGGGTCTCAAAAAAGTCTTCCGGGGTATTTTTTCCTTCAGTGCCCAGCAGCCGTATTACTATGGAGGTGGTGGGACAGGATTTGGTGGCAGATGGTGCCAAACTCATTATGGCCATGGGACTGGAGGGCATTACTCCTGGGACACTACCGCCAGATTCGCAGGAACACATTCGAAGAGAACATGTTCCGCCTGGGTAGACGCGCTGTCCTGTGGGTAATATGGTGGAGAAGGTGCATTCTGGAAATTGAGGGAGCACGGGTGGAAGACGGGGAGGTCACAGAGCAACTACGCCTTTTAGTACAATACGAGATTACAGCCCAGTGGCGGGCGACTAAGGCAAAACTGAACCAAGTACATACCAGGTGCGATATCAATAAAATCATCTCCCAGTTCTGTGAAGACTGGCTGGGAGGGAAGAGGGAGGGATGGGTGGCGAAGGTGAGCTGGGCAGGAGATGGGCAAACGGGACACCATCAGGGACATTGTCAGGAGGAGGAGGTGGGGCAACAAACAGAGTTTGAAAGGGATTACCAACTGCATTTTCATGACTGGACAAAAGTTGACCCTAGGGACCCGTTACGACCAGCCCAGGATTTTACCGACCTCTTCCCCCCTCACCCGTGGTCCCTGGAAGAAATTCTACTCGACTCTACCTAAATGAGGCTCGTCCGCCCGGCGCTATCTACAGCAAAGACGAGCGTCTCCCAGGATTCCTGCAAGAACGACAATTGAAGCGTCAAGGAGAATGCTGGGTCCAGTTCCCAGAGCAGAGGTGAGGAAACACAGTGGTGCCCGGCGAGGAAATGGAAGGAGGCTACCACTGGTGCCCCCCAGTGGCTCCTTCCGTTTCCTGAGCCAACAGGACCAATCTTCTCGTTTCCTCAGGAACTTCGAAAGGACGCTGAGCCTACTTCTCAGCGGGGAAAGATGTATGCAAGGGACGCTGAACCCGGTGCTCAGCAAAAACGACAGTTGGGATTGGGGCTGTTTGAGGGAGGGAGTTCAATCAGCCTGCTCAGTCAATCCCCTGGATTCCAGGGCAATCAATGCTGGCAGGATCCTCCCACGGTTGTTTTTCTGATGTTTTTCTGATGTATTCCAAATTCAGTCTGTAGTACTCTGTACATGGGACGCTGGACCCGTTTTCCAGCAGGTGATGCTCCCCACCAATAGATGGAGCCTCTCCCCAGGTGGTAGTGGTGTCTGCTCGTACCAGCGCCTCTAACTCCAGCGGGGCGTGTTAAAAAAAAAAGAAAAAAAAGAAAAAAAAGAAAAAGAAAAAAGAAAAAAAAGTCCTTTGGTCAACAGGTACAGGGCCAAGGTTCAAATGAAGCCCCATATCGTCCCCCACAAGGTAATAGATAACTTTACGAAAATCAGGAGTCAGGCCCAGCACAGGAAAAGTGGATCAAGAGTCAGAGATTTCTCAGAAGTCAACCACGGCCACGGATCTGCTGCACAATCAAAGGCTCTCTTCCGGGGCCTACTGGGTCCAAGCACACATTGACCATAGGCAAATCTGGGTTGTCCAGATTGGGAAATCTCAGCCGCACAAGGATGCAAACTGAGGCAGGCCAAACCGATCGAAACTACAGTCTGAGAAGCATTGCCTGCCCCAGTGGGCTCACTTATAGCCTTTCTTTTTTTTTTTTCCTTTTTTTTTTGAAAACTCCGGTTCACGGCACTAGACAGGGTGATAAGAGCATCCCCCCCTACCGTCTTCCCCCGAACATAACGCACCCTCAAAATGAATGTATACAAGCTATATTTCTGGCCAGGCACAGCCAAAATAAGGGTGCGTTGTGTTCGGAGGAAGACGGTAGTACCCGTCCGCCGGGCGCTCCAGTCTATTGGTGGGGAGCTTCACCTGCTGGAAAACGGGTCCAGCGTCCCATGTGTACATCTGCAAAAGTCACAACTGCTGGAAACCGGGTCCAGCATCCCATCATACATCAAGTATTCGGTGTCCGGTGACGACCTGCCAGCATTGATTACCCTGATCCTCAGGGGATTAACTGAGCAGGAGATTACGAGGGAGGCATGCAGGGGATTCGGGAAAAGGGAGGTTACATCAGCTCTTTTTTTTTTTTTTTTTCATAAAAGCAGAACCTTAGGGTTCTGGCTCCTTTTCCATTCTGGGGAGCATCAGTCCGGTTCCTATTCCACCGGCAAGTCATAAGAGAGTACAAGGAAAACTCACTCACGCTCCTCCCCCTTAAGGTGTGGAGGCCCAAAGGACGGCATTGATTACCTCCCGGAGGAGGGATGTACCACCCTTCACCCCTGCCTAAGTTAGCCTGTTCTATTGAGGCTCTGTCCGTTTTTCTACTTGGACCCTGTCCAACCTGTTCCTCTCAGCTTCTAGGCTGTCGGATTTTCCTTGGTTGCTAGAACTGTTATTCGGGTCTTTTGCTCGGTTTCTAAGAACTTTCCCCTTGGTCTTCCTGCTGTGATACCCTTGGTGTAGCGCTAGGGTCTGTCCGGCCTTCCTCTCTCTTCCCATAAGAATCTGCTTGATGTTCTGTTTGTCTACTTAATTGTTGGATCTTCTCTCGTCTGTTGTCCGTCATTTCTAATATCAGAGCTATTTGAGGTTGTTCTAGTTTCTACCCTAGGTCTTGGTTGCCCTGGACCTGTGCTATTCTTGAGTCTTATGTCCTAAATATAGTGCGTGTCTTCCTATCAGATATAGTTTCTTGTGTTGTCGTAATCTAGTGGCGAGCATGTTGGAGTAGTGTCTGCTAAGGGCTCTTTAACGGTCTATTCTGAGTGCATGTTGACTTCTAGGGGTTCAGGGATACTATGGGTTGAGTGGTCTTGTGAATGTTGATTTGGAGGTGTTTCCTCCCATAGTCGGAATACTATGTTTGGGCCTTGGATGAGTGCGATTTTACCTTTGGCTAGAAAATTATTTTCGAAGTTGTGTTGATGTTCCTTGGCTTTGCCTTCGTCCTCTCTCATCTTCCTTCTTACCTTGCGCCATAGGACCCAGTATTCGGTTTCTACTCGTTGTTGGATTAAACGCCATGCCTCTTGGGTGTGCATTTTTTGCCTTTCTATAGTTTCTTGACATCTTTTCCTCCATATCGCCCATAGTGTGGCTTTTCTAAGTATTCTGAAGAGGTTTGATTCTAGTGGACTCCAGTGTCCTGAGCTATTAAATCCTAGTAGTAGCAATGTGTTGTTATTTGGGAGGGTTGTGTCTGTTAGTGTATTCCATATGCTTGCTGTCTTTTGCCATAACGGTTTTATTCTGGGACACAGGAGAAACCAGTGGTATAAGTTCTCTATTTGACCATTGTTGCAATTAGCACACAGTTCTTTTAGTGGACTTCTATCTTCCTTTTTCCTTCTCACATTTAGCCATTGATTTAGTGGGACTGCGAAATAAAGGATTAGCCATTGTAAGCTTCTAAATTTGGGTGGGTGGGTAGGTGCTATTTTGTCCCAGGGTATTGAGTGGAATGTTTCTGGTTCTACTTCTAGGTGTCTTTTCCAACGTTCTGCTATTATTGGATCTGGGTTTGTAGAGCGGCGTCTCAGCCTATAGCCTAGCCTGGTTGTATATTGTAGTAAGTTAATTTTGGTGTGAATTCCTGAATGCAAGGAATATGAGCATGAGCGATATACAGAAAACCAAGTTGTGAAATCACACAGATGTCCAAGTAGTGATGTACGAGCAGAGAGTGCAAATGCACCGAGATTCCATCCAGATAAGAGCATAACAATGAACTTACGAGCCAGTGTCCAAGCCCTCAGGCCACACCAACACCGTATCCAATGTCGCTCCTACTCTGTCTGGCGCCCAGCGCCCAGCCTACACTACTCGCCTATCCTACTACACCAGCGTTCATGCAACAGGCTCACTTTGACCTTGAAGACCAATGTACATGACGTCAACACCATAGCTGACCTCTCTCATGCACCAGATATGTCTCTCGTCTCTCCTCATCACCCCTGACTTCCCACACTGTGCATTCTCAACACCCAAAGACCACCATCGCCATCCAGACCTGCGCCCAGCAGCCCGGCTATGGCTGCCGTGCGCCCACTGCCCAGCAATGCACCTCACACCTCAGCGCCCGTGTGCGCGACCCAGCCGGCAGGTGCAACGCAGCAGCGTGGCTGCATTGCCTGCCTAGGCCAGAATGACCTGCCCAGCAATGCTCACTTTCCTATATGGAAAGTGAGCTCAGCCTCTGCTGCCTCTGGGCCTGGCTGGGCGCGCATCCAGTAGCTTCCAGTCGGGCCTCAATGCCTGCGTCCAGGCCCAGTTTGCAGTTACGGGCTTGGGCCCTTTACAGTTGGGCACGTCCAGGCAGTCCATGGGCCTCCACATGTTCGCTGTGATCTCATTGGCTCACGGCTACTTTGTGCCGACAATACTCCAATCTCGTTGGTCCGTGGCTGTTGTATGATGTGTCGGCCTCTGAAAGCACACGCCTGTACGGGGCCCTGGGCTCAACTGCCCGTCGAGGCTGTAACTTCCGGAAAGAGCCTGGAGAGGCTCATGTTGATCTGTAACCAACTGACATGCTGCAACTGTCTGATACCCACATATGGAAAAATGTCAAATCTTGGCCTCTTCTGAATATTCAGGCCCGCCTTCACTTAGGGCGGGCACAGGGCTTGCTGAGGGCCTCTGCCCGGAACATGTGCATGTCTGTTAAGGGCCCCACGAGGGCTCATTCCCCGCACATATATAACCCCTTTAGGGTGATCACAGTGGCCTGTACCCAGGCCTTGGCACATATTGGCAGGCCCGCCTTCACTTAGAGCGGGCAAGGCCTTTCCCAACACTGCCGAGGGGTCAAATCCTCGCATGAAGTTCTTTGCTTTAGGTTCCATGCCCATTCTGCTGGGTCTACCTCTAGATTCTCTAAAGGGGTTTGAGGGTGGTAGATGGTTAGGTCTACATTTTCTATTACTCTTATCTTTCTTAGGTTGTCTTCGCCGACAAAAATCTTGCTGTGGTCCGATCCAGGTTCTTCTATTTCATGCGTGGTAAAAATATACCAGTTTGGTTTGTTTTCATCTCTGCCCCAATATGATAATGCGTGTTTGTGTTGAGTTTCATTTGGTATTACTGCCCAGTCTCCTGTGGCCCACTGTTTGTCTTTCTTGAGTATTGGGAGCCACTTTTTTTGGATGGCTGCTGTGATTTCCTGTAGGTTCTGGTTTAGTCGGTGACAGCCTTTGAGGTGTTGTCTGAGTTGTTTTGTCGTGTTTCCATAGGTTACATCAGCCCTACTGCAACTCATGATGAAGTTTTTCAGATATAAAAGTGATATCAAGTGAAATCAAAAGGATGGTGAAAACTTGAAAAGCAGTGGGAGTGGTGAGGCAAGGGGATCCTTGCTCCAGGGGGCGACCGGAGATAGGAGCCCCTTCCCTCCCTTCTCACTGCCTACTCCCTACTCCGTACCGTACCAGCTTAGTTCCATCAGTGCATAGCCAGGGAGGGGAAAGGGATCTGGGAAGTCTGTGGGAGGGGGGAAGGGGGTATAATCAGGGGCCACTGTCCAATCGTTAAAACAGAGCCGGTAATTCTTCTGCCTGGCTTCCAAGTGGTGGTTGTCCTACAGGTGCCAGCCATCCCATTGAACCCTTGCTATCCTTCCCCCTCGTTCCCCTCCTAGCCAATCCATGCAGAACTCATTTAGGTGGCAGGTGATGTCCGCCTTTTTGGAAAGAGGCTTCATTGTCTGTACTGTTTTTGTCCATCGAGTCCTGATTGCTGTTTCAATTATATCTTTGATTATCTCTCCCATTTCACCCCTCACCATGTGCGCACCCTTAAGGGTCAGTGTGCAGCGGCGGCGCCAGATAGCCCACAGCACCGCTTTCCTTCCAATCTAGAAGAGGTTGGAGGTGAAGACTGATGTTTGGGTCGTCCAGTCTCACAGAGCAGGCCTCTCCATTCCCACGGCCACTCCGCATCAGTTTCTAAGGCCACTCAGATTCGTGCCCACCATCACCAGGCAAGAACTGATGACGGACATTGCAAGAAAAGGTGTTCAATGGTTTCGTTTACCTTCCGGGATGGAAATCCTTCCATGCAGGTTGTGCGCCACGGTAGGGCCACACCTTTCTGTTCTAGGTTAGTGTAGTCAATGAGCCATACATTCGTGGGTAGGCAACGGTGAACTATTTGCCATTGCAGGGAAGCCAATTTGGCGGGTTTACACTTGACCTCCTTGAACCATTTAATTGGTCCGAGAGCCTCTAGTGGAATGTTCAGATGCCTTGTCCATCGATCCGCTATCCGGTCCCTTAGATTGATCCGGGACCTTAGAAGTCTGTAGGTGGCCTCAACCCCGAGATTGTGTAGGTATCGGTACCTAGGTTGTGAATCTCGCGAGGGGATCCTCCACCTCCACACCCCCGGGTGGAATAAGTGTTCAGACCCGAGCTGTTCACTTATTCGACCTTGCGCTGCTGGAGGCTGGAGTGCTGCTCCATTCAGTGCTGGAGAAGGCAGGAGAGGCTAGCGCCAGGGAAGAAGAAGACTGCACCAGCCAGGAGAGAGGAGAGAGAGAGTAGCCATAGCTAGGAAGGGTGCCCGAGCGCCATAGCTGTAGGATAGAGGTAGGGAGAGGAAGAGGGTGATTAGGACTCGTGAGGAGGGGGAGAACGATTGAGGGAAGCTACCTTGACTTACTGTTAATGCTGGTAGTACTGACGCAGTGGTCTACACCTGAAGACTGGAGGTGGCAGGCGCCAGCCTCCACAGCTGAGCTTGGCTGCTGGGGGTTGGGCACCCGGGTAGACAGTTGCAAGATGACTTCATCAGTATAATCAGGATGAAGGTGTATGTTGAGGTGGCAAGTTGTGGGAAGAAGGTCCCGAACTAGAAGGGGGAACTGATGAGACGGGTCAATTAGAACTGATTATTATTAATGAAACTATCCTCCTACTCTCTATTGCTTCTCCATCTTTGTCTGACTTCTGCTTACTCGCTGCTGAGTTGGGGACTTCACTAAGTGTTTCATGACTTGTTCTAAAACGCAACCGATTCCACATTGAGTGCATGGAGACTATTTGCATGTTCCTGTTGTTGAAGCTTCTCATGGTTTCTGAATTCATTTTTCACAATTTGGTATTGGAGCAGATACCTCTATCCTCGCCATTTGATGATGCTGGAGTAGAAGTCTGCTGTGAAGAAGAAGTGTGGCATAGGTGATTGCTGCTGGAATATATACTTCTTGGAGAGAATACTTCGCGGCGAGATACTGGGGTGACAGGTGAATGGGGCTCCATAATTTTGGCAACGTGTTTAAACTCTCGACTGCAATTTTCAGAAGACACGATGATACACGAGTCTCAGTTCACCGAGTTCAGCAAATTTCTATACTAGCTAGTGTGTGAATCACATCGATTTTTGATTCCTGATTTTGCAGATTGGCTTCCCTAATTTCGGTAACTCGTTGGATCCCCTGAGTAAGCAGCGGTTGCGAGACTGTATGGGGATTGCAATCTTTGGTGGGGAAATTTGGCTTGGCTAAAGGGAAAACAAAGACATATTCCCTGCGTATGGAACCGTAACTTTTCTGGCCACCAGGTCTCCAGAATTTTCAAAATTTTCAAACTTTTGCACAAAAAATGTGAAGTACTTGCTCCATGTTGATGATCCGCCGCATTATCCCGACTAGATGCAAGTGTGAAATCTGGAACTCTGGTAACCAGTGCTTGGAATCATGGGAGGAAAACAGCGCGATTTCCTGACTACATTTCGCTGGGATATTGAGCAATGAGCAATACAGAAGACCTCATCCATCCTCATCCATCTTCATCAACGGTTTGTTGCAGGTGGAGGGCAATAACCCAGAAAGATGACAATAGGATGGATTAACGGGGCAGGCTCGTATCGGAACACATGAGAATACGATCAGACCCGCGTAAGAGAGGTGAGACACGTATCTGCACTAAGGATAGCATGACCTCGGGAACCGACTACATACTTCACAGTATTAGGCAGTCCTTCGGTACATAGTGATCAGCTATGTGCACTGGAGATGCACAGGGAAAGAGCAGCAGTGGATGGGTACATAAGAGAGGAAGAGGGAAGGCCTAATCCCTCTTGCACTCGGCAGTTCTGTGAAAGTCCCCTTGGAAGTCCCCCTTAGGAGTCTGCAGGGTAAGCACACAGCAAAACCTGCCGGGGCATGGTGATAACATCTGGGTATGGCTTCTTCTGGATTGTGTGTTTTTCTTTTTTTTTTCCTCTCCTCGTTTCTTTTTGTAAAGCGCGATGGCCCATTGAGCTGACCGGCCCCAGGTAATTCAGAATTATTCTATTCTGCTCATCTGACCGCAGCTGGATTCGAACTGGGGTCTGCATTTCAACAGTTCATTGGGTGTACCAACTGAGAAAGGCCCGTTGGCGAGACGTGGGATTTTGAAGCCTTAGTTTCATGGAACACTCTTCTCCAGTTCTGGTGGCAGTTTGGCCGCTGTCCGCATCCTGTGATGTGTTCTTCTCCTTCTTTTTCTTCTCCTCCTCTTCCTCCTCGTCATCGTCATCATTCATCTCTTTCCTTTGTCTCATTTAAGTTCTTCTAAAGTTGTGAGGAATGGCATTGTCTCAAATTTTAGTTTGGGTTCACGAATAGGACGGGATCATAGGATGTTCTTCTCTACCTCATTCTCTTCTCTACTTCTGTTTCGTATTGTGATGATTCTTGTCCTTCATTCAAATTTGACATTTGCATCAGGAATGAACTTGGAACATAGCAATCCATCAGACCATTGTAATGACGAACACAAAGTTATACTCTCGTTACTTACACAATATGTTCCAATTGGCAAGCATGTGTTCGCACAATACGCTTCTAGCCCACCTTCGCTCAGGTAGCAATCCATCAGATTTTGTCAGTATTCGAACTCGCAGTGTGTTACGTGTCTTTGTTGGATGCTGCCAAGGCTTGTTTCGCTCATATTCGTTTTGATCATCTGCTGTACCATGGCTTTCGTCAGGGATGCTGGAATTGCCCCGGAGTGTGGTGCGATTGTTCCCTGAAACCGAAACTGGGTATCATCTTTGTATTCCATTTTGCAATCAAAGCCTTGCATTAATGGTTTTTCACTAGGTAGGCCCAGTTTTTTGAGGGGGGAAAGAGCTCTTCTTTTCTTTTCTTTCTTTCTTTCTTTCTTTCTTTCTTTCTTTTTTTTTTTTTTTTTTTTTTTTTTTTTNTTTTTTTGGAAACATTGACGATGGGTGTTGGGGGGGTGCTGATAAGAGCAGACACCACCTCTACTTTATCCGTTTTTGGATGGCTCTGTTCCATTGGTGGGGAGCTGCACCTGCTGGAAAATGGGTCCAGCGTCTCTTTACAACATAAACTCAGAGTCCAAATTACAAAGTTTTCACACGACCATGCCATTCTGCCTTTTGTGCGGGCAAGGTCGTAGCCTTCTAAGCCGACATCCGTGTAACAGGGGCTCCCCGGGGGACTCAGAGGACAAATTTATGTCCACAGTGCGTTTTTTTCAACTATCTTTCCTCCACCTGTCCCCCCGGGCCATTCCGTGTTTTGCTGTTGTCGCTGACCCCACACTGCACTTCTCTGCTGTCGCTGACTGCACTTTGGCGCCTCTCTTGATCAGCAGCTGACCCCAGCACTTGCGGCATCCACTCCATGGTTGGCAGCTGACCCCAATACTCGTGGTATCCACACAGTCCCTTCCCGATGATGTATAGGCTCTGCCTTTTTTTTATGCCAACCGGTGATCTCGCCGTTTGTGATTTGTGACACCACTGTTCTCCCCAATGTCCCAGTGGCCGCTGCAGTTGCAGTCCCTTGGGGGGTGGGAGGGGTCAAGGGATGGAGGGGGGCGTAGGAGTGGGGAGGTGGGGTGGGCGGGGATGGGTGTGCAGGGGAAGGGAAGAGGGGAGGGTGGGGGGGGGGGGGGGGGGGGGGGGGGGGGGGGGGGGGGGGGGGGGGGGGGGGGGGGGGGGGGGGGGGGGCAGGGGGGGCAATGGGGGGCTGATAGGGGAGCAGGAGGGTGGTGCATGGTCTGTTATGAGCACGAAGTTAGTCTGAAGGTGGGGAAATTGTGAGAGGGCCTCCTTTCCCAGGTGGGCTCCGTGGCCCTACACGGTTTCCACGAGATATTGAGCCTGTCACCCAGTTCAGAAAAGATCCTGTGTGGGTCCTGCCATATCTGGCAATAGGACTCCCGGATGGCTTGTCTAATAGTAGGGTCGCTCTCCTCTTGGCAGTCCCGTTTCATTGCTTTCCAGGCTTCATGCGTTCGGGACCTGATTTGCTTTTCTATTACCTGTTGAGCTTGTTGTGATCCAAATTGGTGGTCTTTTCTCTCGAAGGAACACCTGGCTCTCCAGGCTAACATAAGGACCTGCAACCTCATGTAGGAGAAGAGGTTGGTTGCGAAGGGGGACCACTGTGCCAACAGATGTTGTTTCTTGCCTAGCAGTAGGAGGCTGAGGTCCCACGGGATATGGAACCCTGTGAGCGATTGGAAGACCACATCCACCATTGCCATATTTGGGTAACCATCGGGCACACCAGTAGGCAGTGTTTGAGTGTTGCCTGGCCAGCGGCGATGCCCTGCTGCAATAAGAGCAAATGGGGGACAGCAGGCTTTTTTGCTCAAGATCCGTTCTGGAGACAAGCCAGTCGGGCGTGATGACTCATGAGGCAGCGGTGCAGGATCTGCCATTGCAGGGACCTGAGGTTTGTGGGCATAACTTTGGAGTACTTGGACCATGACAGGTTTTCTAACGATTGTGTGTCCAGCGGCGAATCCCGCGCCCATCGCTGGATTAATGTGTGATTGATAGGAACATCTGGGTCCTAGGCAGGGTAGTCCCCTTTGACTGTGTAATCCCACAGGTGCATGGGCTTTGGGCCAGGCCATTCCCACTCGTTGGGTCGAATGACAGCCTGGCGATCGGAATAGTGGGCTCATACACATGGTAGCCGTTGTCTGAATCGCCCACTACCCTGATTTGCATTAGCCCTCCCCACCATTCAGTAGCGTCCAGCTCTTCATTCTAAGCCAGTTTTGAAAACCTGGCTCCTGGCAGTCGGGGCTCGTAAGCTTCTAATGTGCACCGCCCTTGGCCATTGTTCTGTACCCTATATATAACCAGCGGGAGAGAGAGGTCTGCGTACTTGACCACCCAGTCACGCTGCTGAACTGTGGGGCCTGTTTTGAGGGCTAGCTGCCAGGCCAGGTGGAGGGCCTTCTCTTCGACATTCTTGGCGTGCTTCATTTTTCGCTGCAGCTGCTTTGCTGTAGCTCACTCCCCCCTTCTTTGCCCATGTGAGCCGGGGTGAATTTGCTGTTAAGCCAAAAGGGTTTCCCGCCTCGTCAAGGATGTGGGGGTTGCCAAAACGAGGCTGCCTCCATATGCTATGCCATCTGTTAGGCGGCCGTCTATGTTCCAGTCCACGCTTTCTCCACAGCCTGTGCATGTAGGGCCATAGGGGGTCCAGTGGTATGTCTAGTTTGGTCTCGGCCGAGGTGCTGGCTTGTCTGTTCTACACGGGGTGGGTATGGTCCAGTGTTTGTTTGTCAGCCAGGTGTACAAGGTCGACGGCTACAGCCTCCGGGGCTAAGTTAGCTATTTGCAGAAAGGCCAGCACGCCCTGTGGGATGTCATTTCCCATGAGCAGCCTAACAAGGACCTTGAAGATTAAAGCACCACTCTCCCTTTCAGGGTCTAATATCCCAAGTCCCCCTTCAACTCTTGGTTGTGTGAGGATCTCCCAGCTTACTTTGTTCATTCACCCCTGGGCCTTAACGTTGTTCTTCCACAAATATGTCTTGACGCCTTTCTCAGCCTAGCGTGTTGCTGTGGCTTTAAAGGCCATATCGCCAACTTGGACCAAATGACCACTAGGATGGCGTTATTTATTGCCAGAGCCTGACCTACGAGCGAGGTGTGCAGTTCTTCCCACTTTGCGAGTTTGTCAATCGCTATATTCACTAGTGCATTCCCATGGTCTGGAGGGGGCCCTACACCTGTCAGTCTCACCCCATAGTTCTTATGGCATCTTCTCTTCTAGCCCATGCCACACTTCGTTCAGGTGGGGGCGGATGCCCTTGAGGATGGAGCCACCAACCTTCCGTCTTGAAGCCCCAGTTCACTTTCATGTCAGCGGCCAGCGAGAATAGGTGCATAACCTGAGTCAATGCCCGGAGGCTGCCCGGATCTGCTTGTATGAGGTTTGTAAGGTCATCTGCAAATAGTGAAGTCACCAGGATGAGGTGGTCCGAGATGTCGTGGATGGGCACTTTGTTGATGTGGGGATGAGCTCTTATTGGCGATGCGAGGGCCTCCATAACAATGACGAAGAGCAAGGGTGTAATAGGGTCCCCTTGTCGCACTGATCTTTGAGGTATATCAGAGATGAAAGATGGTCATTAAGCATGCTGTTGGTGGAGGCGGATCTATGGAGGAGCTGCACACAATGGCAAAAGGTTGGATTGAAGTCCATCTTGATCAGACACATATCTAAGAAGTCCCAATCAACATGATTGTATGCTTTCTCAAAATTTATA